GGTTGGCTGTGCGGCTGGTGGATAAGCCTGCGCTGTAATACGTCCCGATGACTTTCCATTTTCTTGGAGTGCTACACGGTGTGCATGTGTTGGTGGGAAGACAGAGGAGCAGGCTACTTTATCTTAGCCTCGTTACTACTGCTTTTTATCTGCATGTAAAAAAACCTGGTGGAGAGTTAAGGTTCCTCTTTGTAGCTTCAAGGTTCGGATCTTGAATCTTGCTTTGAAATGGGTATCAAGCCTCCCAATAGCTGTGCTGACCAAGCAGTTTTTTTTCTTATCACTGTTTCAGCCCCAAGATGAAATAGAAGTTGAAGATGGGTTCAAACAGTATGATGGTAAGGCTTTGCTACAGTATTATCAAAGTGTAACTCAAAAACTTGGAGTATTTTGATACTTTATGTGCGTTATTTTTGTACTGACTCTATTACTAGATGATGCTTAATGATAGTTGTCTGTTTTGTCGTAGTGATTAGTGCATTAGATATGGAAGCTATGATGAGTACCATAAATGCTTGGATAAAAAACCCAGTCAAGTTTGAACGTTCTCATGGGATCAACAACACACTGGATGCGCAGATCTTGCAGGATAAGGAGGGAGGAGATGAAACCATCCACATTCTTATTGTTGAAGGCTTCCTACTTTATACCTACAGGTAATCAAATGTGACTTCGTGTATTTTGATTTTTACGTGATTTTACATGATAGGTGAACCTCCAAGGGAATAAAAAGACCTGTTCTAAACCAAGAGTTAGCAGCTGGTATTGACTACCGGTGAGTTTAGCTGTCACAAGTATGAAGATAGCTCTAGATATGGGAAATAGATGTAGTTTTACCTTTCCATTTCTTGCTACTAATCAGTCTAGCTGTAACCAAACATGTATCTCTTTCAGGCCACTGATTGACATATTCCACCATCGGTACTTTCTTTCCATTCCATATGAAGAGTGTAAAAGGAGAAGAAGGTAAGTTTATCTTTCTAAGTTCCCTTGCTAGCCCAGTAACATCTCACTCCATTCAAAACTTTCTCTAAAGCTTTTAGATAAGAAAGGATAAAGACTAATGTAGCTGCTGTGTTAGAAGACTATAGCTTCCTTCACCAAACAAACTCAAAAGCTTTCTACCAAAGTACTACGTGAGACAAATGCTCAATTTCAGCACAGATCTTTCAATAGGCTTTCTCCCTTTCTCGTTTTCCAATTACATGGTTCCCAGGTCTTGAACTATCCTGGGGTCTTATATTTGGCTGTATTGTTGTACTCATGCATGGTTCGTAATGCAAATGAAATATGTTAAACTTGAAAAAGTTAAGTTTCAGAGGAATAAGCAGACAGCTATTTTACCCAAAGTTCTGCTAAAGCTTTAAGAGAAGGCTACTCATCAATGTTAAGATTAGCCTGTTTTAGGAATCCTTCTTGCATCTTGAACACTTTGGACCCGAACATTAAATTCCAGCTATTTTTGGGTATCTTTATGCTTGCAGCTTACGCTAAGTACTGACTTTTGATAAGCTCAGAAACCACATTGGAGGCAACAGGCTCAGGCTAGTGTGCAGAGAAACTGAATGAACTATCTGTCATTTCCCTAAACTGTAATTAAGACTACTCTTGAATAACAATGTCTTAATTTGTAGTTCAAGGAATTACACTGTACCAGATCCACCTGGATTGTTTGATGGCCACGTTTGGCCTATGTATGTAAAGCACAGGAAGATAATGGAAGACCTTGGAGTTGATGTGGGTAAGTCTTTAATGACAAAAGCACTTTCGAAAGGTTGCTTTATGAGAGAGTGCTTTTGAAACCTGGGATATATATATACTGGTTAAATGCATGAGAGGAATTGAAGCAGGTGGATGGAGTGTATTTTTCTGATACCAGTCAAGTGCATGCTCTTTAAATTAGGATTTGGCAGGCTTACAGAAACATTCAATTATAGCTCTCTCATTTTACTTTCTTACTTTAAGTGCACTTGAATGGAACAAAATCAAAGGAGGAGCTGTTTAATGATGTGTATGGACAGATCCAGAATAAGATTGAAGAATTACTTAACATGCAGGTACATGTCCATGCTTCTAACTGCATTTCAAAGGCCATCCTTTTAAAGGCTATGTTGAAAAAGCATGAAGCTATAACTTGGAATATGTTCATGTATGTCTTTCCATTTAGAAATAAGCTCCTGGTGACGATTCTTGTGAGTGAAGATGATTCCTGTTTGCTCTGCGCTGTCTACCTGACTGCCCCTAAAGTTCCAGCTTCTGTGAAGACTCTCGACTCTTAAATTCGACTTTGTTTAATCTTCCCTTGAAACTGAGTTATATATGGTCATAATTAAAAAGCACTTCCCTCTTGTCTGTCATCTTAATTTGTGCTTCAGCCTAGTATGTGGCCTCAGATGATTTCTGTCTTCTCCCAATCTCCAGTCTATTGGGAATTCTTTTCACTATGTTCTTAACCTGTGAGAGTAAAACGCTATAGTAGAACTGATGTGATGTGGCATAACCATCCTAGGAGAGTGTGTGTATGTGTAGATATATACATACACTGCTTTGAGTTCTTTCCTTTCAATAACCTGCATTAATTTCTATAATCCATCTAATTAAGCAGCAAGTATGCTTCTTGATGAAGAAACGAGGGTTGATTTTGCTCTTCAAAAATGAGAAAACAAGAGGATGTTTTCAGGCCACTTTACTAGCATTAGATTATTCTCTTAAATCCAGTGCATGCATTGATCTCAGATGCAGACAGTTCAGTTTAGAGGCAGGGAGAAAATTTTACACGTACAACAGCTTTAAAATTATTGATTGCTCTAGAAGATTTCAGTAGTGTTCTGTAGGTTAAGGCAAGTTCACATTTAAGTTTAAACTCCTGTGTATGTACAGAAGTAGTTTAAGGCCTTGGTTTACATAGAAGAGCAGTGAAAGCATATGAAGGCTTAATCCCTAGTAGGGGGAAAAGTGAACTTAGGTCAAAAGCTTGATTTTTAAAAAAAAAAAAAAAAGCATCTGTCTACTAGGTGGTTGTTCAAGAAGGAAGATATGTATTGATCCGTTGCAAGACCAGTCTTTTTTCTTCAAAAGGGTTTGACCAACACCAAGCACAAGCAGTTACTTCAAGCCCAGATGCATTAGCTTCCTGACAGGAGCTGGTCCTCCCCAGTATCCCCTAGAAATGGAGAAAGTTGTTTCACCATGTTTTATATATGTACTATCAAAGTAGGGTTTTTGTTTTACTCCCATAAGATACCATACTTGCCAAGAGATCGAGTATTAGGGATTTGTTTTAGAGAATCATCTCTGCTTCAGTGGGGTTTTCAATTGGGCAAGGGGTGCTCTTCTGTGCAGTTCAATGCTATTCTGCTTGAACAAACCCCTGTTACTAGCAAAGTGCCCAGAATCCTCAGAAAGTTGAAGTCTTAAGTTACGACTAAGGGTGCACATCATTCGCTTCTATTCTACCAATGAACTAAGCCAAAACAGGTATCTGTACCTGGCTTTTTTCTGAATGATCACAGCAGCTCTGCCTGCTCAGAATTGAAATACTTACTTAAGTAGTGCATTCCAGTAGAGAAAAGGCATCATATCAGCTTTCATATGGTACATGGTTACTCTCTCCTTACTCTGGTCAATGGGAAAGGTCTCCAAAGGCTGAGCGTCATAGTCAAATTCTGCTAGAATCACCTTGTTGTAGCCTGTTACTAGTGGGCAGGAAGTATATCCATCATACTGCAAAGAAGAATACCCCCTTTTCATTAATCTGAACAAAGTCTAAATGCTGAGGTATTACAAGCCATATTGTTAACATTCGTATTTCAAAATAAGTTACTAGGAGGTTTCTGCATTTATAGCGTTAATATCAGCAAGTTTGGAAGGCTGCTAAGTGCAATTATGGTTTAATAACTATAATACTAAGCCATTTTATTTCAAGTATAGATTGTAGATTTGCTTAACAACATTGCATAAATTAGAGCTAACCTAGAACAATAGGGTCATTAATTGCTGGTTATTATTGTAACCAGCAGAATAGGTGACCAGTAGATCAGGATGAGAGCTGGTGCTAGCTTTAACAGACAGTATATAAACAGGATCTTGAATATAGTTGTAATAATTTCCAGAGGACTGCAGGAGTATGGATGGATGATACTCAGGTTAGTACCCCAAAGAATATTAATTCAGAAGCCATACGTAAAATGAAAGCCAAGTCTCAAAGAGAAATTTGAACATAGTTATAGGCTTAACATCTGTAGTACAAAATCTTCAATTTAAGTCCTTAGAAGATAATGGGGAGGGGAGGCAAGTTTAACATAGTACAGATGTGTAAAGTTTGAAAGGGTTTTCTTGGAGTAGGGGTTATACTAGTCAAGAGTTTTACTATAAGTAAGTCACCTGCATCGGTGAAGAACCCAGACTAATCAGCCTTTCAAATTCTTTCAACTCAGAAGTCAAGGAATTAAATAGATAATATTTTTAATGGCAGTATCAAAAATACGGATTGTGCAACTAAATTACTATTATGACATACAGTATATAACCATTTAGCACCCCAGCTGCTGATGCAAAGTGCTTCCTGTCTTCCCGTTCACACAGGTTAGCTGCTTGCAAGACTTCCTACATAAGAATGGAGAAAATTCAAGATAACGTCTTCCCAAGACAAGATCTGTAGGTACCTTTTTAGTTGGCAACTGGTTCTTCATTACCAGGGAAATAGTTTTATCAAGCACTCCAGACTGGGCAGCTACATAAGAAAGAAGGAGGAAAAAAAAAGAAGTGTATTAAGGCTTTGTTTTAGGCAGCAGTTATTGTCATTACTAGAGCAAACACTACTAGCTGGGCATTTTGTTGGACAATTCAGCTGTAATTGAACTTGTACGCCAAATCAGTTTGGGAAGTTTACAGTCCTGGATAAGAAAAAAAAAAAATTTGGACTAATGCTTTGGCCTCACTGTTTCCAACATGCTAAAGCTTTATGAAACTTGAGCTGTATGTTTTTAACCTATACCTATTCTCCTATGCTACATTATATTTGTTCAGTCTTCCCAAACACTAAGATTCTGACACACTGAAGTTTTGTTTCATTTTGAGTGCTGTAAGGGAAGTATTCTAGACCCATTTGCTGGAATGGTTGACTATACCATTCTTCACATTACACCAATAACGTACTATATACCCTTTCTTTTTTTCCACACCAATAACATACTGTATAGCCTTTCTTTTTTTCCACCTTCTTACTTGCATTTTTTTTTTAGTTGTGAGACCATAGGCCTAAAGTGTTTTTACATGGGACCCTGTGGCTACAAGTACAGAACATGTGATTCTTCAATAGTGACTTATCAGTTAGCTGACACATATGCATGAGCTGCTAAGATAGACCAGAACGTTTTGTTACTGAATGATGACGGAATACAAGAGTAGTACACTCATTTTATGCCATTCCGTGAACACAGAAAATAGGATTAGTTTGTCTGTGAGGCATTTGGAACAAGAGAACTGTGGGTTAATGGCATCAGCATGGTCTGTAGCTAATTAGTTGGCCCAGGAGACTTGGGTCTTTTTGAAAGCTGGAAATAATTCAAGTCAAGACCTCAGGAGTAACAAACTAAATAGTAAGCTTACTGTCACTCCCATACTTTTCATTACACACATAGACACACATGCAACTTTACCTACAGCTGCAGCAGTTTTTGATGTTGGAAGGTTGGTGCAGTCTCCAATACCAAATACATTAGGATACTTTTTATGTTGTAGAGTTTCCTTATCTACATCCACCCAGCCAATTTCATCCGAGACAGGACTGTTGATGAGTACATCAGGTGGCCCCATTGGGGGTGTGACATGAAGCATTTCATACTAGACAGAAAGAAGAGGCACTCAATGGCTAGTTTATCAGAGCAAATCATACCCGTGTTGATATAAGGCAATAAGAGCAGGAGAAGGGTCTTCTTTGTTTGTTTGTTGATGGGGTTTTTTTAAAACACAACTATATAGAATGAAAATTTGCTCTCAAATTTGAAGTGCATCCTTTTATTAACATGAACCTTATCAGGCAACTCCATTTACACTGGCGTAACAGCAATTTGCCTTCCTCCATATGCATCTGAGACATTCCCAAGTTATACTAACAAGACATACAGGACTCCAAGCGTAGTTTATGAAATATTTTTTTCTTCTCTCCACCTTAGTTTCAAACTTTTTAATCTTCTCCTGAAGTTAGAGATAGTACTCTCAGGAGGTAAGGGCAGTATACAACAAAGCAGACATTATGTTGTTATAGTGTGGCAGTTATGTTACGGTATACAAGGAAAAGAAACAGGACCAAACTAGAGGTCTGAACCTTCCTGACCTGATGAACTTCAGTCATTCCAGGTTTGTCCAAGTTTTCAAACACAGCTTCCTGCTTGTCTGCTCGAACTTCTACAAGGTTGCGCTTATAGTTAACAGCAATATTCCTCTCCTTTATTATTTCAAGCAATGCATCAGCATACTTCTTAACACCAAAAATGACACCAAGTGAAGTGTTGAACATTATGTTTGCTTTGGAACGTTTTCCTGTCTGCACAAAGAGATCAAATTAGCCTTTTCTATTAAGAAACTGTGACAAGCTAGCAGAGACAAAACAACCATGCTCCACTACTGAAAAGCTGACAGAACTATTAATGCAGTTCAATTATTAATGAACTATTAACATTAGAACTCTTGAGATACAGCTATTTCACACTATGTTAGAAGCTAGACAAGACAATCTTTGCCCTTCCTGAGTGAGGTACTGAAGACACCCCCACACAAATTGCTAGTGAGAAGAGGTGGCTGCAATTCATGGAAGAACTGCTGTATGCAGGTTAAGCACTTGTAGCAGCCTAGCATTAGCTTTCTGAAACCTTCAGTTCTATGCATTATTCAGATACTCGCCCAGTAGATAGCTCATGAAACTTAAAATACATATGAAGCCTGACACTTCCACTTGAAGCTGCCTTTTATTTCCACTAAGCTTGCTTTTACAGCCTGGCTAAGACTCCTGATGCCGAGACAGTGCACCACAAGTAGCAAGCATAGCCACTTTTCAGACTAACAGAAAGACAAATGGCAACAGGTATTAAGTACTTAAAATAACAAGAATTACTTAATTCCAGCCAGCATTATTTTAGTGCACCACCTGAAGTTATAAATCCGGCTGAGAATAGTTGTATCTGTAGTTCACCAGAAGCAGGGTAAGCAGTTCTTTCCTTCTGGATTCTGAATTCTACAAGTTTCTCCAGTATTAAATATATGCTAAGTATTTGTGTACGATTCAGTTAGCTTCATTTATTATACATTAATAATAGAAAAAGCAACTCAGTCACTTTAATTTAATAATCCTGAGTCACATTCCTCTCGTGTGGTTTTTATTTGTTTTAAAGATAATATGAACGCCTTAGAACAAGCCTTCCTTCCAACTGTGGGAACAAGCACTGGCAGAGAGAGTAAAATACTTACTTTCCTCCAGTAGGCCTCTGATAAATACATGATCTTCTGAGGAGCCCCTGCACACTTCACTGGAGTATTTGGAAAAGTGAAGATAGCATTTCCTTCCTTGAAATCTTGTAAAGCTTTCCATGTTTTCTCTACCGTATGAACTGAATAATTGGAACCTATTTTGGGGTGATGAAAACCCTCAGGCAAGCCTTTGATCTAAGAAAATGAAATTAAGGTTTAAAGTACAGATGGCAAAAATTTTGTCATCATCGTCAAGTATTAAATGCAGACTTGAGAAATAGCTACTTGAGAAGCCTCTAGCAAAAGGAAAGCCCATACATACTTGCTAGTCGGCATTTTTGAAAATAAGCCTAGCAATCAAACAGATATTTCCATTAGATGATTTAGTAGATGTAACATTTACTGAAATGACTCTCGTCTGCAACTTTTGTAGCATAAGGGTTCAGTGCAGACCCAAACCAAAGTTTTTGTAGACTAGTACATGAAATTCAGAGTAAGACTATATAAAGTCACTGCCATATGATCATAAATAAAAATAATGTTAAAAAAAAAAAAAGGCATTATGAAAATTTACAAGGTGAATGAAACTTTTCAGTAGTCAGCTGCAGACACCTGTATTTCCTAGGGTTATTTTGTTTCAACTCGATTGCCTCCAATAATTATTTCCCTACTACTCCTACTACACCTGAGCATCTGCTTGTGAGAGAGTTGTCCCCATTTCAAAATAATGGATTGCAGAAATTCTACAAGAAAACTAAGTCATGTTACATGCACTGCAATGTGTTTGGGACATTACAGTCTACACGAGGAAGTATGCTGTTGGTGAAGACAAGTAAGAGAAACCATCCCTCTTTTTAAACTGGCCACTTTCATTTTAAAGCCATATAAATCTGTTACTATGAATTTTATCGACTACAGAGTAATAGTGGTTAACTGTATTACATGGCTTCTACTACTGAATACTGAATTTAGTTTTCTCAGGTTGTACTTCAGACATATGAAGGCTGAGAGGGTCACTGAACACAATGCAATTCCTCATTCCACTGACCTAATCACCAGAATTTATCTAGTGTGACTATAGTTAACTAAGACTAGCTCTTGCTTTATGTATGCCTTGAGTATCTCTTTGAATAGCTCTCAAATATGTTATCAGGTACTACATCATATTCAGGTCAAGTGGAGTCAAATCGCTCAAACATCTTGCCTTTGTGTTTTCCTCCTCCTACATTTCGCTACAATCATTCTTGTGCCATACAATGGTACTAACATTTTCCTCTGAGTGCCACTGTATACCGGAAACTTAATAGATGGGAAGGGCCCCAGGGCCTATTTAAACACAAGCGTGGTAACTCAGCTGGTTCCTTTTGAAATGCATCCTTTAAGAAAGGTGAGAGTGGGGCAAATTAATTCTGCAATACACAGATTTTACTGACTGCTGTGTGTTCCTCACTTCTGTTTACATTAGAGATGCTTCAGACTACAGTCAGCGTACCTTATTATCTCATTATTACAGACTGCCTTTAAGTTCTAGATTTAACTTGCTGCCCCATCTGCTGATATTGCCATAGAGATACAAGAAAGCTGTCTTAAAAGACCTTCCCAAGGGTAATTTGGGTTATTACATAGAAATCTGTGGAACGAGTAAAGTCATTAGGCTGTCTTCTGGCTCTTTAATTCGTATTAGCGTTCAATATCTTGCAGTAAAAAAAGTGTACTGAAAAGCCATTTACTTTAGTGAATCATAAGGGTATGTGATGCCGTTAAAACTAGTGAAAACATGGTTACTGTAAAACAAATACCTTTTCATAATGCAGACTAATCCCAAGGGCAATTATCAGATACTTGTAAGATATCTGTTGTGTAAGAAAAAAAAAAAAAGTATTTTAGACAAAACCCAAAACATTAGCTCAAAGCAAATTTAAGTTATCTGACAGCAACAGTGTC